CCTGGGCGCAGGGCGCTGGCGGCCATAGCCGGGCTGCCTGTGGGCGCAGAGGGAGGTGAGGGCGAAGGTGGTTCTTCAGGAAGTGAAGGGCGCTGTGTGGGATAACAAGGGAGAGTGAGGGTGAAGAGTGAGACGTACCTGGTGGAGAGGAGGTCGGCATTGGAGTTGACGTCATCACTCGCTGGTCGTCAAGTTGTCTGGTTGCTTCCATGTTGTGGTTGTAGTGTTAGGCCGTAGAGTAGATAGGGCGCCTTGCGCCATTCTAGAGAGAGAGCTACATTGGGTGTTGCCCAATTGGGCTTGGACACTGACTCACGATTAATCTGTATCCTTATCAAATGGATGGTTACTCGGTTCCCATTGTGCTAGCTGCTCTTGACTACTTGGACTTCAATGTGATTTTGCAATTTGGATTTTTGTGCTTCGTCCACATTCATGTTCCTTGCATTTTGGTATCGGAGCTGGTTCGATTCGCTCTCTTATACACATCTAGATGTGTATAAGAGACAGGAGGTGGCACTGCATTGCGTTGTGGGTGGTACCGAGGCTATGACCGGTCATCAAATGCACACTCAGCTCAATTGGTGAGAAATCTGTGGTTAGGTGCAGCTATCTCCAGGTACGTTGTTCCCTTACCTTATCTACTCTCTCAATCTCTTCTTACCGCAAGGAAGTGAGTCCAACTTGAGAGTCCTCTCTTTTGGTGAGGTGTCATAAGCGCTCTACCTTGAGAGACGACAATCTTCCCGGTGGCGCATCTGGAAGGAGAAAGGGTGGTGCCTTTGAAGGGCCCTGGTCGAAGCACGTGGGTTACGGTCACCATGCCAACCCAATGGGATTAGTACACGCATGCGATGGCTGCTTTGTCCATGAGGGCACTTTTGCTGCGCTGATAGAGGGGTGTGCGGACTGAACAGGCTTATGCAGACGCTCCCAGACCGTCTATAAACATTTCTGGATGGGGTTCCGATCTGACAACTGGCTGTGATCGTCGTCCTGATTTGCGACGTAAAATAATTCCTGAGCGACCTTGGGGGCAGTCGTTAAATAGGCCTCTTGATCAGCCAGATCAGTCGGACGTACGGCTCGTTGCACGCGAGGATAAAGAAAGGGCAAGCCTGGTCACAAGCATGCACCTGGTGCACAGGGGTGGACCGACATTGCACACCTATGACACTGCTGCTCAATGATGCTCATTGGTATGTTGGATTGAGGGGAGAGTAGGATCTAATTGGTGCTCAACTGTCAACACAACCATATCCACTGTTCATACATCTGCAACATAGTTTAGTTTTATTGTTGATTAGTTGGTTGACAGACTGCTAACACCTCACAGACAATTTAGTTTAGGACTGTTGTGTACTACCATAGCCAGTTCTATGCAAAACTTCTGTAAGTGAACCAAAATATATATATATATATATATATATATATATATATATATATATATATATATATATATATATATATTATTTTCCCTGCCCCCCAAAGGGCTATTCCCGACAACATTACCACCGCTGGGATAGAGGGATGGCACAAGGGCTTAGAAAAAAAAAAAAAGTAAGAGCAGGTAAGATTCTCTCTCTCTCTCTCTCTCTCTCTCTCTCTCTCTCTCTCTCTCTTACGCTGCTCCCCATCCCAATAGCATGGGGAATGTCAAATCCCTCCTGCACCTAACTTCACTATTCGATTGGCACAACACATATTACATGGTCTGCATAATGACTGTCACTTCTCATGTTCTGAATGTTAGGATTTCGATTTTCTTTTGTACTCTATGTTCATGAGATCGTTCACCTGCGATCGAGTAGCCATCGCAACAACATCCTTTAAGGGCAACGTGAAAGCTTAGGTCATGAGTGAGGTACATGCCGCTAGTCACACAGCCAGAATGGATGCCTGGTGTGAGATGTTCAAAAAATTATCCCTGAAGGACCACGATTGGTTAATGGGAGGACCCCCCACTTTCGGTCCTCCGCCAATGGGTCCAAAACTGAAGTTAGGGGTCCCCGTTCATCAATTGTGAATCTCTGGCCATCGAATTCATGGATATGCTGGTTGCCATCAGAAATTAGAATAAAGCAGATTTTGGTCAGAGGATAGGGATTCTCCAAATTTGGTAGATTCATGCCGCTGCCAGCTACCGCTAAAACTGAAACGTAAGAAGTTATTAATAACTGAATTATGGCCTACTCACACTCGGCCCTCAAAATAGCAACAATCGCAAAATGAGCCGCCGCATCGAGTCCTTATAACGGAAGGACTCTATCTGGCCGCCGCTCATTTTGCAATTTTGCGATTTTGAGGGCCTAATGTGAGTATCCTTTTAGCTACCAACTTGTAGTTACCGAACAACATGTATTTTAGGGCATCAGGCCCCGCCGTGCACGCACGGCCTCAAACCGGCACCATCAGCCTCATGAACGAAGTCTCGTAACCACTACAACCCTTGGGGGTGTTATAAAAACTGGATCCATACCGGTCATGATATCCAGCCCACCTCCAGGGCTGTAGCATCCTTGAACTCACACCACACACACACCACCACACCACGGACGCGACAATCAACACACTCCGCTCGGACAACACAGCCCCACCACCGCTACTTAAGCTGGTCACTCCAAGGCGGGCCACCTGCCCGCGGGTTCCGCAGGCGCCTTCACAGTGGTTCCTGAACAACGTGTGTTTTCAGGCATCGGCCCCCCCCGTGCACGCACGGCAAATACTTTGAAAAATTACCGAAGAGCATTGTAAGCGACGCGGATGTCAGGTTCACCAACTGCAAGGTCCAGAACTCAAGCTGGAGCCCAGGCTCAGCAGATTGACAGATGAGCACAACAGCTTCTAGGGCATTACATTTCTCCTGATCAACTTGATTGGGATGTAAGCTGCCTCAGATAGCTCGGCGGTATACCATAATACCAATGCCATGCACTCAGCCACCAGGTAAACATTGAATGAAGTGCACTTGGGATGGAAACCAAGAACGCCCCTCGACTTCATGTTTCCAGATCGCGAGCCGCAATTATCCGGTGGAACAGTAGAATATGCCCTTAAACTGCAAATGCACGGCTCCAGCCTTGCTGAAAATGCAACTCGTACCCTACAAAATTTTCGGAGGCTCGGCCTACCGGACCACAATGGCTGGTGGCGCCAGCCCAAAAAGAAAGAAACAAAGTGTGCCACTGATGGTTCAGAAAAGCTTGGCGTGCAGTGAGGCGCCTCCAGGCCCAGGTGTACTGGTGGGTTTAAGTACGAAGGAATGCTGAAAGAAAAGTGTCGAACAGGTACAGAAATTGCAGACGCCAATGATTGATTCAGAGGAGAAAGACAGATAGGATCACAGAAGTCTATGTTCCAAGTAGGTGATAGAGGTTGGGTTAGATCGTCAAGGTTCGTTCCTGAGCAGGCCATCTTTTTTTTTTTTTTTTTTTAACCATGCTGCCACGCTAGGGGGAGTGATACGAGGACATCATAAAAGCTGACACCACAGTATTTTTTGCATCCAGATATAGGCTGTCTTAAACATTGTAGGTTCCTTCTCACAGATGGATGCCCTGCCCCCAACTGCGAGCGATCAAACTGCTGTGGAGCACAGAGAGATGCCTGTGCAGAAGCCATCGGGCGAAGTCTGACCACCGAAGACACAGACAGTTGCAGCTCAGGGTGGCTATCAAGGGGCAACTGGACCGAAAATGACCGCTCTTCGAGCCTCATCTCGAAGGAGGATTGGCGGTTCACCAAGGACGAACTAATAGACTCTGCACCTCAAGTGGTTCTATGTTACGAGGGAGCTCTTGAACGGAAGCAACGGCAAGAAGATTAAGGATGGGTTAAGGAGGTGGGAGCGCGAGGCATTAGGCCTCAGCAACGCCCTGCAGGGTCCACCTGTGCAAATCGACCCGGCTGTAACTGAAGGCCGGGCGACTTAAATAAGGTCAGGCCCTAAGTGAAGGTCCGGTGGAAGCTTGCTTCCAAGTGAGTCGCTGTAGGCCGCCGGGTTAATGGAAAGTAACTGCAGCCAGCAAACAAAAACATGGGAGGCCACTGCGGAAGGACTTGCGACGACTTGGAGCTTGCTGGCTGTCGTGCACTCAAATTAGCGCAGAAGCAAGCGGCTGCACCCAGCACTTTGATGAAAGAGAAGGGAGAGGTCGGCGCACGTACACAGCTTTGCCAGTGGCAGCCATAGCTGCACTGGAGAGAAGTCAGGTGAGTAGGGATTGAGTGATCAGGGGAAGAGGACAGCGATGGGACAGGTAGAATTATCTGTCTGCAGTCAAGGAGAACACACATAGTGGCCAGACTCTGGACGAGGAAGGTGGAGAGTGAGCGAGAGAAAGAAAATAGGATTGTACGTAGCATGACTAGAGGGGTGGCCACATCATAGGAGAGCAGCTAGTCTGTTCTTGTATCGATAAGAGGAGCCGAGATGTTGGGCTTTTGGTCATCAAGAAACTTCAGTTCAATTGTGCTTCCATTTGGTGCGTAAATCTGCTTTTGTCTTCACTCTCACATGCATGCATGTCCTGCTTTGTGTTTTTGACTGCTCAGGAAATCTGTGTTCTCTTTTTATTTTTATTTTTATGCTCCGATCTATTCGTGGGGAGCAGCACGTGCTGGGAACGGGGCCCAGCGTCCCATCTGACAAACACCGAGCAAATCATGTTACTGGGCCCATTACCCGGGGCTTTTTGGCTAGGAAAACAAACAGCGGTTGAGATTTGGCTTCTCACCTATATATTGTTTCCTACTTGCAACAGAAAGTATTGCTTCAAAGTTTAAACTTCTTTTAAAAGTAGCTTCTATAAAAGTAGCTTCTGAGTTCTAAGAGAATTACCATGTAATGTATTCTTGACAATTTTTTTTACAAAAGACTCTTTTTTGGTTTCAATGGGAAGATAAAAGTTTTCAGCCCTGTTTCAACCACCGATACGTTATTTTCTGTTTTACTAATTGTTCCATTGGACATTGTAATGTAAAACACTTCCACGTAGACGAGTCGAACATGAATTTGATTCTTCTAAAATTGATTTAAAAAAAAAAAAAAGATCATTGCTTCACAGTGTCCACACCCTTCTTTTGCCATCAATAAAATCACAGGTGAAGTAAGTAACACACAAAGGTAACGACGTACCGTATTCAACTGCAAATCCAAGAATGATAGTTTGAAATTTGAATCCAACCTTTGCCGACTCACTCGGCAAGCTGGGCAAGGTACCTGTCTTAAGTACCACTTCTGAACCTTCTACTGAAAGCAGAAGACATGCAAACAATGATATTACAATTCTTTCCTTCCCGGGTGCTGATGTCTACAAGATAACCGGATATGAGCTTGGCTGGTCCAAACCCGCGCTCCCTCTTTTCCCCTTAACTTGTGTATACACACTCGCAAACACCCACACACACACACACACACACACACACACACACACACACACACACACACACACACACAGAGTGGACCCCTCCCCCCTCTCCCGAACCCCCCCGGACCATCCACACACACACGCAATATAGATGTCGACCATACGACCAATAGTTTTGCCTATCCTCCCCCCCTTGAATATGTATTTGTCCTACCTCACAATCAAGCCCTCTTCATTCTTGTGCCTCACAGAAGGGCTCAAAGGTAATACTTCCTTTGTCTAGCTAATCACGTGCCTCATAAGCGGTGGATCTGTCAAGATGTAGGCTTTTCTAAGGGGCTGAAACAAGCGGGGGGGGAGGGGGCGGTGGGGATGGAGAAGGGTGGCGAGGGCAATTGGAGGGGAGAACTTCGTGATGAGAGAAATAAATTCAGATAATAGAAATGTTTTCCGTAACCTAAGCGTCTAAACTGGACGGGGATGGAAAAATCTACTAACAGTACAAACTAGCAAGGAGTGCCCAGAACAAAATAATTCCCTTATAAGGACTTTTCAACAGCGAAGAAATGGCAAACATTCACTTCCGGCTGTTCTGCTTGAAGGTCATAATTGTTCATTGGAACGCGCCTGTCCTCAACCACTTCGTACACGACCATTTTTCTCCACTGATGACTGGGCAGCTGGAATGCAGGGACTTCGTATCGGTTTGCCCTTCTAATGTCTGCAAGACAACCACAGATGAAAATCAGCTGTCAGCACTCTGCCAAAGGAATCCAGTGTCCACTCCAACCCATCGCCACACAGAAGAGAGCGAGAAAGATCAAGCAAGAGAGAGACACACACACACACACAGAGAGAGAGAGAGAGAGAGAGAGAGAGAGAGAGAGAGAGAGAGAGAGAGAGAGAGAGAGAGAGAGAGAGAGAGAGAGCAGAGAAAAAATCAAAGGGCACGGTAACGAGGGGGAAAGGAGGGACGACAAACGAAGGAAGAAGAGATTTAAGGACTCATGTCGTGAAACAAGGACCAATCATTTAAGTATCAAGCGGCAGTTCTCCAAATGGACATGCAAACACTAGAGGCATTCACACTCGTTTCTTCAAGCAGTCACCAATCACTATAGAATCACAGACGAAGCAGCTCTCCAGATATGCACCGACAGACGCAAGCATACTTCGGTAATATCACCTACTCCCACCTACCATGCTCCAGAACAGAACGGCATTCCCTCTGTCCGGCCTGACAGAGACACCCCTCTTCAATTCCCCTCCGCACATGCACGTCGAGTTCCCGTCATTAGCCTGGCACAACATAGCCATAGATACAAGGGTAAGAGCTTCAGTCACAAACACCACACGAAGAACTTGGAACTGTCAAACGAACCTCTCGAGTTGTTTTATGAACGTGTATTCCTTACTTTCCTTGCTCCATGAACTCAGGGCTTATTTGCGCAAAAGAAAAGAAAAAAAGAAACTTAAAAAAATTGGCACCAGATGAATGGGAAGAAGATGATATAAAGAGTATCCTCTACTCAGTCTGGGACTTTCCTGAATCTCTGTGTCGGCAATTGCTGCCGATGTTGGATGGATGCTTTTTGATCGCAATCACGTGCATAGATCCGTCGAAAACTGAGATTAGAGTATCTCTCTCTCATTAGAGCGAGTACGCCCTCCGTATATTACAGATGGTGGGATCGGTAAAGAAAACTGGGATCCCATGGGCCCAGGTTGTCTACAGTCCCAAGAGTCCCAGGGTTGGGACTTTCACAACACCTCCCGAGAGTCCCGATTGTATCCTCCATCCTGTCACACACCTGTCAGCCTGGGACAGACGGAACACGGGCCCAGGTTCCCACGTTGCTGTTTCCGGGACCATCCAGCTAGGAAGACTGACACAGACAACCCTGCACCCAAGTATCGGGGAATCTCTGGACACGTCAGAAGAGAGGCCCGAGGACTCGGGGAGCGGCGTTTGCAGTCTGGCGACCAGTGTCGTACTGCGACTTTTTATTTTGCACATCTCAAACGGAGCACAAATCCCAGCTTTGCCTCCCAAAAAGTGTGCACCGAAGGGGCACACTTTGGTGCACACTTTTTGGGAGCGTTGACAGAGAGAGCAGTTGGTACACCCCCCCCTTGAACTGTTGAAATATGAATCAGACCCAAGTTTGAATCCAGTTCCAATCAGATGAACAAAATAAATTCATTCTGAAATACCATTATTTAATGATTATTAATATTTTTTATTAATAATTTATTAATTTATTACCTCGGGCCTGAAGTTAGAACTTTCAAAGAGGTGTTCATCACGAATTAGTATTTAGTATTTAGTATTTACTAATTAGTAATTTAGTATTTACTAATTAGTAATTTACTAATTACTAATTAGCTACGGAATTCTAAGTGAAACTCGGCACAAACCCCACGGCCATTTGCAATGCAAGCCTACACAACACAGTTTGCTTTCACATACTTAATTTAACTGAAAGTCTAAAATAGATTTTCCAAAAACGTTTACTGTTTGGATTTATAGATGCGAATCTGGACAGTTCACGCGCCCTGCGATCTGCATAGGTTCTATTACATAGATATATGCATAAAGAAGAAAAGACGGAACAAAAACAAGTGACGGAAATTGAGAGTGGAATCCAGTCTGCTGAACCACCACCACTGATTTTTTCCCGGGAGCCAAAACGTCCTGTGCGCCCAAAAAGACACGAACCGACGCCTTTTGGTTGGCTGGCGCCGCCCGCCATTTTGCTCCGGCAGCCGACCCCCGAAAATTGCGGCGTGCATACAGCCGGTTCGCCAGAGAGAAACGGCTGGAAATCATACTGGCGGTTTAAATGGAAAGGCTGAAAAGCATAAAACCCTGTCGTGTATATAAAATAAAATTTAAATAATATCATAGTACAGTACAGTCGAGTCACCCATATGTCTATTCGTGTGTCGTTCTGTGCTGAAGACTTTGTCACACACTCCCCACTTAAATAACATTCTTTCTCATATTGGGCCTCATGCCACAACACATTCCAAACGTACCCGAAGATCTCATGCTTCTCCCATGCATTCAAAACGTTGGATCAGTTCAAACTTCAAATGTATCCGTCCCAAGCCATAGTCCAGATACATGTACAATGGGGCTCGATAGACACTCCTCGGGCGCGTAAAGTCCCATTCGTTCCACCTATCCTCGGGGATGCAGTCGGAAAAAAAAAAGTGAAAACACCCCGAAGGAAATTCCTTGGGCTCCGAGGATTCCCCATCCATTTCTTCCGTTTGCCTTGGCAAAAGGAATCCGCGTTTCACGGAGAGGAGCGGGCACATGGGTGGAGAGACGTTACAACCGAGCATCTGGATCATGGCGTCACCCTATTGGCTGAAGGCCTCAAGCACATTTGATTTTTTATTTCTTTTCCTTTGTCTTTTCTGACATCACTCGAAGGAAATGTCCTCGGGCGACGTCCCTGAGAACAGGTGGAACGAAGGGCCCGAATTTCCTTCTGAACCAAAAGGAGTTTTTCCTTTTGCCCGAGGATTTCAATAGGAGTGTCTAACCAGCCCCAATGGCGTGTAGCCCTGCGAGGCCCATTCTTTGGAGCATTCCATGGTGCTGTTGTCTCACCCTGAACAGAACTTGGTCATCGGCGAAATGCGTGAATTTCAGAATGAACGACAACGAAGTTCTCGGTACAGTCGGTACCAAAGGGCCTAGCGCAGTTGGTACAGCCATGCACTGTTGAAATGAGAGACCCGAGCTCGAGCCCAGATGGAACTAGGTGAAGGAATTACCTAAATTGTCTGGGGCCAGCCAGCTTGGCAATGATATCTTGAGGCCTTTGCCGGTTTCCCCCCCCCCCCCCCCCCCCCCCCCTTTCTTTTTTTGGGGCCTTCTGGCTAAGATTAAGTGCAGTATCTGTTCTGAACAGTTTTACCACTGCCGGGATAAAGGGTTTGCACAACGGCTTCACAAAAAAAACAAAAAACGAAAAAAAAAACGATATGATCGTCGATATCAAAATAATACTTCAGGGCCACAGAGGGAAGTAAAAAGAACAAACGGGAAAAAAAAGAGCAGAGCGGGAAATGGAACATGATAAAACCTCAGGGAAATATGTCTCTCCCCCTTCCACATCTCCGGTCAAGTACATGAGAACCGTGGCCACCCGCTGTCCTCCTCGCTTCACGTTATACTGTGTCACATAGTTAAACCAAAACACCGAAGATGTAGAAACGTTATTCAGAGCCAGCAGCTTTAAGAATGATGTAGAAACGAAATCATATGACATAGCGAAGCAAAACAGTGAAAACACACAAGATTAATTTGGCATGATGTCAAAACAGGAAATCAGAAAGCACCTCTCACAGAGCCTAGGGCGCCATTTACCGCCCCCTCCTACCCCTTTCTTCAGGGAAGGCTGGTCCCAGTGTCCAGCAGAAGGTCAAGTTTGTCACTTTACAGCAGCATCGCAGTCCCTCATTTTACTTCAGGGGTGTGTGTATGGATGGTCAGGGGGGGGGCGTGTCCACTCTCTGTGCGTGTGTATGGGTGTTTGCGAGTGTATAGGTAAGGCAAGGGGAAAAGAGGGTGCGCGGGTTTGGACAAGCCGGATTCATACTGAAGCAGGGTTAGAGGCCCCGGTATCTGTCATGTAGAAATTGATGCATCTTGGGACGCTGGACCCGGCTTCCAGCAGGTGCAGCTCCCCACCAATGGATTGGAGCACCCGGCCGGACTGCCAGCAGAAAGGCGTTGTTTTAACTTTTTTTCTTTTCTTTTTAAGCACTAGTACCTTTGCCACTTCAGAAATGAGGGAGAACGCCAGCTCCCGAAGAATTCGGAGGCCGGGCCCGACAACGGCCGCCATTGATAAATCTAACCGGCGGCCGTCATTTCATTTCAGCCTCCTCCTGAAAGGTCGGAGGCCCACTATTTTCCGAACCGACAAAGGCACTAGTGGTTTAATAGAACCAAAATAAGTCCGGGGGCAGAGTGGGGACATGATTCTATGAGAAAAGGACAGTAGAAAAAAGAGACTGCACTCCATTTGACGTTTGCGGCTTTGCATACACTGCTTCGCTGGGATACCGATTCAGATGACAGCACATACTCTACAGCAGCACCAAATGGACAGCCTAACCCATATTACTTACAAGGAACCTCAGTGCCTTTGCCTTTCTTGCACCGAGGCTTGGCACCAGGAGGCGAGTGAGAGACAAAGGGAGGGAGGCATGTAGCTAAGGCGGAAAAACAAAAATTGTGCTGCCCACAGGAGGGGCTGCATGCATGTGTGTGTCTGTACACGGGTGCGCGCGCGCGCGCGCGCGCGCGCGAGAGAGAGAGAGAGAGAGAGAGAGAGAGAGAGAGAGAGAGAGAGAGAGAGAGAGAGAGAGAGAGAGAG